GCGGCAGGCGCTGCGGCCGCGGCCGCGGCGGCGCCGCCGCCCGGCGGCGCGGCGGCCTCCACGGGTGTGTTCAGCCAGTCGGTCAGCGGCCGCGGCGGCGGTGGCGGCGGCGCGGACGGCAGCAGGGGCGGCGGAGCGCCGCAGCGGGGGGTGGCCGCGCCCTGGGACGGGGACGCGACGGTGGCCGAGTTCTGGCAGCAGGCGGTGCTGCCCCCTGAGAGCCCCGAGCGGCTGTTTGCCGACTGCTGGTTCACGCTGGCCGCGCTCGCGGGGGACAAGGCGGCGGAGGACGAGGCGCGGGAGACGGTCATGTGCGTCGGGGCGGCTGGGGGATGCGAGGCCGCCCTCATGTCGCCATGCTGAACCTGAGTTAGCTAGGCAGAGGGCACATCACAAAAAGCCAAGGTTTGCTGGGCTGCTCATGCGCGGTGGCATCCCAACCGCATTCTGTTTATGATTCGCCCCTCCTCCCGCCAACCCACCCTCTCTTCGAACCGTCCACGTGCAAACCTCGCAGGCTGTACGGCGGCCGCATCTTCCTGGCGCCGACGCACCTGCCCGCCACCGCCACCAAGCGCTTCGCGCTCTGCCCCTACGGCCTCCACCCCCAGGAGGCAGCCGCCCTCGAGAAGGCCAACGCCTGCTTCGCGGCGGTGCACCCGTCCTGCCGCGTGACCCTGTACTGGATCAAGTCCTGCTGGCTGGTGGGCGGCCTGGGAGGTCTGGGACGGCTGGGCTGGCTATGGGTGGGGGCTGTCAACCCCCTGGTGCTTGCTTGCTTGGTCGCGTGCCTGCTGACGGGTGTGGTGCCTGCCACCCGGTCCTGCGACCCTCTCATAGTCTCAACATGCCCCATGGCGAAGCAGGTCGCCACACACCCATTTCCGATGCGCCCGCCTTCTGCGCGCCCCGCTTCCCCTTGCGCGCCTCCCTGCAGAAGCGCCAGCTGGCGCAGCCGACGCCCCGCATGCCTGTGATGTCCCCCCTGCCCCACCGCCTGCCGCTGGCTACGTTTGCGCCCGTGGTGGTGGCCACCTCTGGCTTCTTGGAAGCCCAGAAGCAGACCATCAAGCTGCTGTTGGAGAACCTGGGCGGAAGCTTCATGGGCAACTTCAAGCCGGGGGAAACCACGCACCTCATGGTGCCCTCCCTGGTCGGGGCCAACGACGGCACACAGAAGAAGGTGCGGCGGGCGTGACGCGCTGCATGCATGGGGCCTGCTTGGTCTGTAGGCAAACGGTCAGCCGTGCAGGCAAACACAACCTGGCTTGCCTTGGGCTTGAAGAGCAACCTGTACGTGTCGGCGCTTGTTTGACGCCCCCTTCCTGCGTGCCGCGGCCACCATCCATCGCTCCGCACTCCCCAGGTTGCGCTGGCGCTGCGGCGCGGCCGCCCCGTGGTGACGGCGGACTGGCTCATCCAGTCCGCGCTCGTGGGGCGGCCCCTGGCCACCGACGCCTACCTGCCAGAGGGGCCGCTGCCCAGCATCGAGGGCGCCGCCGGCTGCACACAGGCGCTACCCTCCCAGCTTGGCATGACGCAGGCGAGCTTGGCGTGCAGGGAGCATGGAGGGGCGTCCGGGCCTGCGCTCCCACCGTCCGCTGGGGCTGGCGGCAGTCGCAGGCAGGACCGCGCGCCAGGTTGCTGCCAGCAAGAACTCACCAATATCCAAGCAACCACCTATCGAATGTGTCAGATAATGGTGAATTGTGCACGCTTGCTGGTCTCCTTGCTCCCCTGCTTGCATCGCAGGCTGGCCTGGGCGGCATCCCTGGCACGCAGCAGGGGCGGAGCGTCGGCGGCATCGTCCGGGCGGGCGCTCCAGGGCCCGGCATCAGCGGCAGCACCGGCGGCGCCGCCAGCCGATTTGGCGCCATGCCTCCGCCGCAGGCACCAGAGCAGCAGCAGCAGCAGCAGCAGCAGCAGCAGCAGCAGCAGCAGCAGCAGCAGCAGCAGCAGCAGCAGCAGCAGCAGCGCGCGAATGAGCAAAGGCTCCAGGAGCGAGCACAAGTGAGACCAGACCAGGAACAGCCTGCAGCGGACTCCCTGCCCAGCCCCCTGAGGAGCCCGCTGAACCTGGCGCCCACCAATACAGCAGCAGGATCACAAAACCAGCACCAACAGCAGCAGCCTGGCAGCCAGCGGCAGCAGCACACGCCCAAACCTGCACCCAAGCCGACACCCAAGAAGCGCACGCCGAGGGCGACGCCAAAGCAGCAGGCGCAGAGGCAGCAGGGCGCGGCCAGGCGCGAGGAGGCGTTGCAGCAGCAGGCGCTGCACGAGGCCGCGGCGGGGCGGACCCGGCAGGGTTCGGCCGCCGCAGCCGCGGCTGCAGCGGCCCCTGCCGCACAGGGCGCGTCTGCGGCGCAGCAGCAGCAGCAGCAGCAGCAGCAGCAGCAGCAGCCGTTGCCTCATGGCTCCTCGGACAACGAAGAGGCGGCATGGCAGGGGGTAGACACCCTGCTCACCAGCCTCACCTCCAGCCGCCCCGACGCGCCGCCGTCGCCGCCCCACGGCGGCGGCTTCCTCGACCCCCCAGCTGCGGGCAGCCTGGGCGGCCACCACCGGCTGCGCTCGGCGAAACGCGTCGCGTCGGAAGATGCGGGCGCACCCGGCGGCGACGGCGGCGGCGGCGGCGAGCAGCAGCAGCACCAGCAGCACGGGCAGCAGCAAGCGGGCCAGGCAGGGAAGCGAGCCAAGCGCGGCGGCGCGGGCGCGGCCGTGGGGGCGGCTGCGGCGACCCCGCCCGGCGCCGCCAATAGCGGCAGCAGCGCCGGCGGTGGCCCGAGCGCCGGCTCCATGCCACCGCCAGGCGCGCGTGCGACGCGGGGCTCCGCGCGCAAGCGGCCGAGCGCCGCTGGCGGGAGCGATGGGGGTGGCGCGGTTGCGCAGCTGGCGGAGGCGGCGCCAGCTGGCATTATGGAAATGTCCCAGCCTCAGGTCGGGTATGACGTGGGACCTCAGGCGTCGGAGCGCCTCCGTGCGCACGGCGCCGCGAGGAGCGGGTCCGGGGGCAGCACGGGCAGCGCGGGGGACGCGCGGCTGAAGCGGCAGATAATAGCGCAGGTGCAGGGGGCGGGAGGCGGCGGCGGCAGGGGGGCCGGCAGCGGCGGCGGCCAGGCGCGCCACTAGCACGCAGGGTGCAGCGCTACGGATTCAGATATGTGACATCATGAGATTTTGATTCTCCTGTCTCAATGGTGCTGGGCTGGTGTTGTCATTGACTACTTGACAGATGGTCAACTTTTATGCAAGGGGGGAGTTTGACCACTGTCAACCTACTGGCGCGCCGCCTGGCGTATGCATGCTTCAACACGAGCACTTGAGACAGGTTCTTTGTGTGCAATAGCCTCCAGAGTTTTCAAGGCGTGATGTACCTGCCATACTCTGCCGCGTGGACTCTGTGAGGCCAGGCACCAGTCACTTGCACAATTAGGGCGTGCGTACGTAACCCGATTGCGGTTAGCCACACACAGGCAGTCACAGGCTTACCTTGCAGAGGAAGTGCATCTGCATTAGGATTCAAGCCAAAATAGGGCGCATGACGATGTACAGTACCTGCTCTTGTTGCACTGCCAGAGCAGCTCGAGCTGGTGCTGCAGATGGTGTGACCTCTGCTGCGCGGGGGTGCATGTAAGCACCAGGGCAGTCCAGGCAAGGCGCGAAAACAGTATCGCAGGTCGACTTTTATAATTTTGGCTTTTGCATTATCGCAGGTATTTCCCGTGATCTGACATCTCTGAGGCAGAATGGCGACCGCGACTCCTGAAGAGTGGCTGGAATTCTTGATTGATAGCGCGCGGTATGGAGATACAGACGACGTCAGAACCGCCATCAAGGAGGGCGTGGTGGTGGATGGCACAGACTCATCAGGGCGGACAGGTGCGTGTGCAGGCGGGGCCGCCGTGGTCAAGGGCGGCGGCTCGACGCGTGCGTGACTGCGTGATAGCGAAGGATTGGCCTGGCGCCTTTGATGCAAATAATGAGCTCCTAGTGCGACGCATCAACTCAAGAACGCATGCACGCATGCAGGATGAGCTACTATGCGAACAGGATTGCCGCCTGCCCCCGCCACCAAAACGCAGCGCTGCACATGGCTGCTGCCAACGGCCATGAAGAAATTGTTTCCATATTGCTTGATGCAAATGCGGTGAGACATTTTTGGCTGCATCCTTGTTCAACCACGCGTGCCAGCAGTTCTTTTTCAGCAGCTGGAATGATGGCAGCACGCCAGCTGTTTGACCAGCTCCCACTGCTCTCAACTGCGCCTGACGTTTTGCACACACAACTCACGGGTTAAACTCCAACTCTGCAGTCTGTGAATGCCAAGAATGCAGAGGGCAATACAGCGCTGCACTGGGCGTGTCTCAATGGGCGGAAAGAGGTGGGGAGAAAGCGTGCGTGCGCGCTCGCATGCGCACGCACATACATGCATGCTCGTGCGCGTTGCCAGGTGCTGCTGCTCCGCTGTGAGGCCTGCGTGCGCCGTCGCTTGCATAGACTACACAGCTTTGCACTGTGTGCTGCTACTTGAAATGGCCGCCTGCCGTGTTTGTGACCACACTTCCCCCCACCATGCGGGCAGGTGATGCGGCTGCTGCTGGAGCGCGGGGCATCTGCCACAGTGCTGAACAAGTGAGGGAACCCTCCCTGCGGCGGCCCCAAGGGGCGCGCCATAATTGCTGCCTTGCCCATGCCCGCCCATGTGGTGTCCCGATTCCTTGAGAGGCTGCCACCTCAATGTGCGTTGTCTGCACGCGTCCATCCCATAGCAATCTGACCGGTGATCCCCCAAACCACACGCGCTGCGGCGGCCGCAGCGCCACACGCACCCCTGTGGACGAGGCGCTCGCATGCGGGCAGGAGGGACTGCTGGAGCTCATCAACAGCTTCGACGCAGCTGCGGACGCGCAGGTTCAATTCGCAGACGCCGCGGACAGCGCCGGCGGCGATGAGGACGGGGATGATGAAGAGGGCGGCGGCGGCGAGGGTGGCGGCGGCGAAGGCGGCAGCGGCAGCGGCGGCAGGGGTGCAGGGGGTGATGGCGGCAACGGTGGCACGGCAGAGCAGCAGCTCGCGCAGGAGGCGCAGCAGAAGCTAGGATTGCAGTAACAGGCACGGTTGACTAATTTGACTGATCTTGCATGGTGCAACGGCGCAGAGGCATAGCCTGAAGCAAAATAAAGTGGTGTCTGTTGATGGGAGGCCTCCACTCCTTCCTATGCTCAGCTCAGTCATGGATTTGGGCACCCAAGCCATCAGGTGCCAGCGGCCATCACCCAGGTGACACCCTGCATCCTTACGTTTACCCGAAGATATAAGCCAGCCTGGAGTGAAAGCAGCTGATTTTTCCATATGTGTGTGGACCATCCAGAGGCAAGGGAGCACTTGATGCGCCCGCTGTGGACTTCACAAGTGCACTCGCAAGCTGACGCCCTGCGACTGAGCTGAACTTGCGCCCACACAAAGCTGGCGCCGGCCTCCGCAGGCCGCCAAAGCGCGGAAAAGGCTGTTGTGGGAAATGCTGGGCATCATCAACTTGGCCTTCGAGGCCTTCGTGAAGCGGGATTATGGCGAAAATGTTTGGATGGAGATCGTGCAGCGATGTCCTGGTGTGGCGACCAACTGGGTATCCTCTTGTCCATACTCAGACAAGGCAATATACCAGTGAGTTTTGGTTGTTCACCAGCCAAGAGCCCAAGACGTGCGGCTCACCGGCAGCGCGGCGCCCAGCTCAACAGCGCGCGCCGCGCTGCAACTGCGGCTGCCAACAAGCACACCGCTGCAACTGCTGGCGCCAACTTCATGCCGCAAAACGCTTTGCATGCCCACCGGTTGGTTGTCACCCAGCAGCGGCAGCGTTTGCTGTATGTTGCTGACAGGTGCAGTCTGCCGACCAGCGCCATCCCGCCATTGTCGCCGCTCGCGCAGGCTTGGCGCGGCGGCGGCGGCGGTGCTGAAGATGTCCTTTGATGACGTGATCGAAGCGTTTGGAGTGGATTTTGTCAGATACGCTGAGGAGAAGGTGGGCAACCAAGAGCGGCCGATCTTGGGACGCTGCTGCTCTGCATCTGCTTGGTGCGGCACCCTGCACTGGCCTGCCGACAGCTCGGTTTCTGCACCTCTAACCCAACCGGAGCCTGGTTGTTGCACCCCTCCCTGGCACCTGCCGATTCGACCCCGGCTGCGGGCTCGCTCGTGCTGCCATCAACTGCGAAGCCGCGCGCGTGCCCCCGTCCCGCTCCGCCGCCGCCCCGTGTGCTGTCAGGGGTATGGCCGGCTGATGCAAGTGCTGGGCAGCAATGTGGCGGAATTCCTGCAGAACCTCAACAATCTGCACCTGCACTTGTCGATGGGGTGGCCTTCGATGATGTCACCCTCCTTCAGATGCGAGCAGGCGAGGGCCTCGGCAGCGGCGCAGCGGGCATGGGCATGCAGGGGCGCGCGCTTGACAGCGGGGGCCGGCCAAGCTCGGGCGGCCACGATCGGGGCCGCACCGACCGTGCGCGCAGCGCCACGATGTAGTTGACCCCGCAGCACGCGGCCAGCCTCGCGTCCAGCTGGAGCTTTGTGTCGCGCAACTGCTCTGACCGACCTCCGCACGCCCCACTTGCACAGGTCACTGCGGACTCGCTGCTGCTGCATTACCACTCCAGCCGGCCCGGCATGTGGCCGCTGGTGGCCGGCATACTGAAGGGCATGGCGGAGGAGTACTTTGGGTTCACGCTTGGGGTGGAGCTGGTGGCCAGCAGGCACCAGGGGCACGACCATGAGGTGCGGCGGATGCGCGCAGCGACGATGCGCACGCGCGCGCGCGCGCGCGCGTGTGTGTGTGTGCGTGCGTGCGTGCTGACCTTTGTGCGTGCATGCCCGTGGGCGAGCGTGGGCGAGCGTGTGCCCGTGCTCATGGGTATGTGCGAGTGCATGTGAGAATGTGCAGGCGTGATTGAGGAGAGGGGCCTCTTCAGGAACAAACAGGCAGCAGTCGCAGCTGGCAGCAGGCAGGTAGCAGCAGGCGCCCAGCTGTCCAGCTGGCCGTGTATGCGTATTCTGCGTCGTCAAGCCGCCCTGAAGGCAAAGGCGGCCGCAGCGCTGCACGAGCAACGCTGTATCACTGCAAGGGCAGCCCCTGGCTGCATTGCAGAGGTCCCATGCGGCTGGGAGGTTACCACACGGCCGCGTGCCCTGTCAGACGCACTCAGCCCCCTCCATCTGCGTCCTCCAAGTCACGTCCTTCTTGATTGCACCCCTCCCACTCAATGTTGACCGAAACCCCTCCGCCCGCAGATCTTCCGCCTGACCTACCCCCACCAAGAGGCCATCCGCGCCCGCGACGACACCGCGCGCAAGGCGGCGGCCTCGCTGTTCGCCATGCCGCCCAACATGTTCTACGAGCTGCACCCCTTCCACCTTCTGATGGCGGAGGAGCGCCTCACCCTCCTGCAGGTCGGGCCCGCGCTGGGGCGGCTGCTGCCCGAGGCGCAGGCGGGAGACCCCTTCGGGTACCACTTCAAGGTGGGTTGCCCGGGGCTCGGCACGGGGAGGGGCGGGGTGCTTGGGGAGTGGCGGAGCGGCCGTCGTTTTGAACCCCTGTATTGAACCAGAATGTGGGCTTTCGACGGCTCCAAAAGGCCTCCACCGCAGCCGGCATGCGTGCACACCCCCCACAAAGCCCACACGCACGCCCTCCTCCCTGGCTTCCCCCGCCCTCGCCCCCCGCACAGATCCGCCACCCCTATGTCCCGGTTGATTACAACGCGATCACGGGCTTTTTCAACACCACATTTCTGGTCAACGCCCGCAACACCATGCTGGAGCTCATCGGCCAGATGCTGCCGGTGACGCTGCCGGCAGACGAGGGGACACCGGGCAGCGAGGGCGGCGCGGGCGGCAGGGGAGGCCCGCGGCGCGCGCTGCTGTTCCTGGGGAGCCCGCGGTGCGGTAGCCTCAGCGAGATGCAGGTGCGTCTCCGCCTGGCTGCACGCGCGGCGAAGGCCATGCTGCACGCTCTCCTCTTGAGGCGACCTGCCGTCTCGATGCAAAAGCCGCATGGGCGGGATGCGGGCCGGTCACGCGCATGCAGGCGGCTCGGCGCCTTGCCGTGACGCTGGGATGCCCGTCGCCGGGCAAAGGGCGTGTCGTACATTCAGACCGTCCCCGAACCCCAGAGTCGCACGCCCCGTATCACGGGCACGCCCCATGCGTCTGAAAGCCACACCTCAACTGCTCTCCCACCGCAGGCCCAGCAGCTGTTCCTGAGTGACATCCCCCTCCACGACATGAGCCGCGACTTCATCCTGCTGGCGGAGCAGCGGCAGGTGGGGACGCGAGGCGAGGGGGGTGGTGCGGTTGGGGAGGGGATGCAGGGGCTCTTCTGCTGCACTCCTGCAACCAGGCGCTGCGTCACATGCTCTGGGCAATCCTGACCGTATGTTCGTGCACACGCATGCACCCGCGCGCGCACACCCGCGCGCACGCACACACGCACGCACACACACACACGCACACTCACACTCGCACACACACATGCAC